AGTCAGGGAAGGCTCAGTAGCATCTCAAGTTTTAAAATACATCGTTAATGGTTTACATTTATTATGTGCAAAAGTTATGTATAGTTTGCAAGAATTGATTTATGCATTGTAATATTTTATGCATATGAAAACTCGTGAACTCACCAACTCTTTGTAGTTGACGTTTTACGTTTCATGCTTTTCAGGAAATAATTAAAGAAGTGAAGCTTTTGGAGCATATTTGTAACAAATGATTTTGTGTATTTTATATTAAACACCAACTTGGTTATGGATGTAAACTTATTAGAACTTATGGTGTTATTTATTATCTGTTGCTGTGACACGCTTGCCTGTTACATCTCGTGTTTCCGCTTTAACGGGGTGTGACAAGCGCTATCCAACTCACTACATGGAATTAGCGGCCGAGGTTTTTGCTTTAAAGATTTGGAGGCATTACCTATTGGGAACGAAGTGTAAAATTTATACAGATCACAAAAGCCTGCAACACTTGTTCAACCAGAAGGATCTGAATATGAGGCAGCGACAATGGATTGAATTAGTTAATGACTATGACTGTGAAATTTTGTATCACCCAGGAAAGGCTAATATTGTAGCCGATGCTCTGAGCCGTAAGGAGAGAAGTGGAACAATCAAGTCAGTGGCGATGAAAATAAGTTTAAACCCAGATTTGCATAAGAAAATACAGAGATGCCAAACAGAGGTCGTCAAGGAAGAAAACAAGAAATCAGAAAAAGTGGGTAAGATAATTTCCATCATRAAACCGAATGGGGAAGGAATATTATGTTTCCAAGGTCRGATATGGGTACCAAATTATGGGAATACACAAGAAACCATCCTAAATGAAAGCCACAAGTCCCGTTATTCCATCCACTCAGGTACCAACAAGATGTATAAGGATATGAAGACATTTTATTGGTGGCCAGGTCTCAAGAAAGACATCACAAGATATGTAGAACGATGCTTAACTTGTTTGCAAGTTAAAATAGAGCATCAGAGACCCTATGGGAATCTACAATCATTGGAAATACCGACGTGGAAATGGGATCACATTACGATGGACTTTATCATGAAATTACCCCGAACTCCAAAAGCTTATGATGCAATATGGGTAATAGTGGACCGTCTATCAAAGTCTGCACATTTTCTACCAATGAAAGAGACTTATTCATTGGAAAGATTAGCTCAAATCTATATTAAAGAAAATGTGACTAGACATGGAGTTCCATTGTCCATCATATCTGATAGAGACAGTCGCTTTACTTCAAAGTTTTGGGAATGTCTGCAAAGAGCTTTGGGATCACAAATCAGATTAAGTACGTCTTATCACCCACAAACAGATGGACAAAGTGAAAGAACCATCTAAACTCTCGAAGATATGTTGAGATCTTGTGTCATCGACTTCGGGGGATCATGGGAAGAACATTTACCGTTGATAGAATTTTCCTACAATAATAGTTTGTCACTCCAACATCCAAGCGGCACCTTATGAAGTCCTATATGGAAGAAAATGTCGAACACCATTGTGTTGGAATGAGGTAGGTGAAAAACAGTTGACAGGTCCCGAAATTGTGCAAGTAACGGCTGAAAAGATTGACCAGATTCAAACAAAAATCAAAACTGCCCAAGATCGACAGAAAAGTTATGCCGACAAACGAAGRAAACCAATTGAATTTAACGTAGGTGACTTTGTAATGTTAAAGGTATCTCCATGGAAAGGTGTTATGAGATTTGGGAAGAAAGGTAAGCTTAGTCCAAGGTATATTGGACCATTCAAAATCTGCAAAAGAATTGGATCGGTAGCTTATCAGTTAGAATTACCAGAAGAACTCCGCTTAATTCACAACACCTTTCATGTATCAAATCTACGCAAATGTTTGGCAGACTCAAGTTTATCAATACCAGTTCCTGAGATTAAACTTGACAATAAGCTGAGTTTTATCGAGACACCAGAGGCAGTAACTGATAGAAAGACCAGAGTATTGAGAAACAAGGAGATCAGTTTAGTAAAAGTGTAGTGGCGTTTTTATGAGGGTTCAGAAGTAACTTGGAAATTAGAATATGATTTGAAAACCCAATATCCGTGGTTATTTGAATAAGTGAATTCCGGGACGGAATTCTTTTAAGGGGGGAAGAATGTTATAACCAGTTTGAGATAACCTAGGTTGAGGTAATTTTTACATGTTTATTATGTGGATTACGTGAAATATACATATCTAAGTAGAAATGCATGAACTATATATGGGAACAAGATATTGTGCATGCATATATGTGAAAAGATGGCATGACATATATGATTTATACATGTATGCATGTGGTGTGAAACATACATAAGATGGTGCATATTTGTGATAAGTTATTCTAGTGGAAACATTATTATATTCAAAAACTTATACCTTCATGGTTAAGAAACCATGAATTTTAATAATGAAAAACCCACMACCCAARATTATTTCTATTGGTTAAAKCTTTYACCGCCTATGAGTTTTTAATAATCTTCACCGCCATGGTGGGTGTATTTAAAGAAATAAAAAGATAAGATTCTATCTTATCATTTCATTTTGAAGAAAATCTGTTGAAAGAGAAAAAGAGTGTTGTGGCGGTGAGAAGTGTTCTTGAACAAATCTTTTGTTCAAAGCTGTTTGAAGAGCTTGTGATTTGCTGTGTCTTTTAAAAATTACAGAATCTGTGATTGTTAAGGTGAGTTTTTAAACTACCATTGATTATAAACTGTGAGTTTTATAAATATTGTTGATTTTACACTGTGAGTTTTTGATGACTAGAATCTTTTTATATTTTATTATATAAACTGCTGGGTTTTGATATTGGTTTTGAAGAAAAGATGATAAAATTATTTTGATAGTTTAAAGRTGTTATTGTTATATATTTGTGTATTAAAACCCGTTTTAAGAAAGATGAAGATGAGGTTGTTTCTTTAAAATAATTTTGAAATGATATCCTGTTGAAAGGATACAAAAGGATTTGAGTTTGGAAATATTATTGCAAGAACTGGTTGTTCTTGAATATTCAGAGTTTTGATGATAAAACTGTTGGTTGAAGACTATAGAGAATATTCTT